ATCAACATCAACACTCACAGAAGCAGCAGCCAAGAAATAAGACAATGTATTGCATTAGGAAAATCTGCTGCAGAAGACCTATTTAAAGTGTTGAAGAACAAAGCTATAGAATTTTCAATCACATTATATGCATGTAACAGTTGGATGGTGAATAAGGAGGACCGTGGAATAATTTATGAATTTGAGTTATGGTGTTGGAAGGAGAATATTAAAAGTAACATGGACTTCCAAAACAACAGACAGATCTGTGTTGGAAGAAGTTTAGCCAGGGTGCTCCTTGGAAGCCAGAATGGCAGACTTCATCTCTTACGCTACAGACATATTATCAGGAGGGATTGGAGAAGGATGTCATGTTTGTTAAAATGGAGAGTCGGAGAAAAAGGGTAAGACTCCCAATGAGATGGACTAGTACAGTGGCAGCAACAATGGGTTCAGGCATAGCAATGATTATAAGTTTGGTGTGGGACCAGGTAGTGTTTGTTCAGTTATGAATAGGGTTGCTATGAGTCATACCTACTGGATGGCACCTAACAACAACAAGGAACATTCTGATTGTACTTCCTGTAAGACAGGTTTGTTTGTTCTTCTGACAGTCTATGGTATTTTCAACATTCTTCCCCAACAATGTAATTCAAATCCATCAATTTTACTATTGTCTGCCTTATTCATTGTACCATTTTCACATTTATAAAAGGCAATTGGAAATATCACGTCTTGTGTCAGAAGCACCTAAAGTCCTCCAGTTGTTCTTTTACACATTAAAGAGGTTCTTTTGTAGCAGATTTGCCTAATGCACTATGTCATTTGATTTCTTGACTACTGCTTCCAAGTGCATGGACTGTGGATCCAATCAAAATGAGCACTGTGGCTCTGTAAGGTAACCACTACGCTATGAACCACAGGGTTGGTGATTCAAGTCCACGGGATGCTCTGTGGGAGAAGCATGAGGCTTTCCGAAACCTGACAGAGGGTCACTACTCCCAAATAAAATTACATCTACAAGTATGTTCTTGCTGTTGGTAAGTGTTGCCGAGTAGATTCTGACCCATAGCGACCCTGTAGAGGGTTTCCAAGGAGCAGCTGGTAAGCTTGAACCACCAACATTGCAGTTCACACAACTTTGCAGTCTGATGCATTAGCCCACAGTGCCATACCAGGACTCCCATCTTCAAATATAGGGGTTAGGATTTATTATACATATTTTGTGGGGATACAAGTCAATCTATAACAGATGGGTAGGTTCTAGATAACGTACTACACAAATGTTTACAAAGAAGGAGTAATTCAAGGGTAGCAGTCTAATGTGATTAGCCAAGTTTAGTTTTAGAGGCTAGACTCTGACCTAGGCCAAGTGAGAAGGTGGGGCCAGGTAAAGAGTGGAAGGAAAAAGTGTAGAGATTAAGAACCCTAGTCTCAGGGGAAGTAAAACACAGAAATCAAAATGTGGGTTTGCAGACACTGAAGACTCAGATGAATGGTAGCAGAAACAGTAAATATCCTAGTCTATGTGACTGGAAGTCAGGCTAAAGAATCCAGACAATATGAGGTTGAATGTGGCACCGAACATCAACAGCAAGTTGCTTTGATGCTAATCTGAGCAATTGAGGAAGGGGTTCCTTTTCTCTGAATTCTAGCCTAGAGCATGAAAGAGACCAGGGCACAGCTTCCTTGCCAGTAATTTTTTTCATCTTAAACTTGCAAGTTCATGTTTATTTGCAGCAACCTCACTCAAGGCTTGGCAAAACTTGTCTTCCCCTTTCACTTCCTCAATCATTTCAGTGGGGCTAGTTGTCCCTAATGAGTATCTGGGGAACAATGACACCTACTGTTTGAGCTACTGTAGCTGCAATAAACTTGCAACTTGGGATAGCAACAGGTGTAGATTTGTAGCTACTATTTCTTTCCTTTGGAAAAAGGGACAAAGGGCTCTGTAGTGAGTTAGTTTAGTTTGGAAAACAAATGAAATTAGAGAAGACAGAGTTCTTATCACAGAAGATATTTAATCTGGAGTGAAAATAAGTGAGTCTGGTGTGTTTATAACAACCCAACATAATCAAAAAAAGGACTGAAGGCAAAAGAAATGTACAATAGATCAACACGTGGTTCAGTTAAAAGGGAATCTCGAGTTACAGACACATTCTGCAAGGTGAAAAGTGGAGCAAGATGACAATTTAAATGGCTTATCTGTTTCCCTGTTCCTGCATTCTATTCTTACATACAATTAGGTCCTTCTTGTTGTTGTT